GCCTGCTCTGTTTCCCAGTTATGATCGGCAGGATGTGTCAGTATAACAAAGTTTATCTTAATTATACTGTTTGAAAATCTTTCTGTGCCAGAAGGATAGAAGTAATATTTGTTAATATATCTGATATGAGAAATGTAAAGATCATATGAAGAAAAGATCAGTCCCCAAGTCTCTAAAGACTCACTGTTTGTGTTGGTGCAAATTCCTTGAAGGCACATTGATGAACATTATGGAAAGACCTATAAATAAAATACATAAGTAAGAACTGTTGACTAAATCATTAATAATATTATGTTTTCCTTTTACAGATCTTCTGTCTAGTAACATGGAAAATTATATTTCTTTTTCATCCATATATCTCTTGCTTTTGGTAACAGTCTGCGAGTATCGTGTTCTAATAGTCTTCTAAGTACAGAGTTGTCACTGTTTTGTACTCTGAAACATGCAGACTATTCAGATAAGTAAATTACTAAATCAAGTTACACCAATTTAAGTCCCACCTTACACCAGTATAGTTGGTCTATAATAAATGTTACCACTGGTGAAAAAAACAGTGAAATTATACTTGTGCATATGTCTGTTATTGTGGGCAAAATATGTGACTTTTTTTCTAGGGTTTCATATCCCCCTGCAGCGGTAGTAAACATCCTTGAACTGATCTATACCATTCAATATCTGCATCCAGAAAAGCAGGTATGAGCATAGACTGTCAAATACTAAATGAAATACTTTGATTGCTGTAAATCATCATTTGAATTTTATTTCTTCCTATAAACCCAAGATGAACACTGATGTGACTCAATGAATTTGACATTTACAGCACATTGGAAGGCTTTAATTCTGAAAACACTATTTGAGTGATTTTTTTTCTTAAATTTGTTCATTTTACTGATAGAATATAGATGCGACAAACATTTTAAAAAGTATTATCTGTTGGAGTAGGTGCATCAGAAGAAAGGCAAGACAAGTTATTTCATCTTTTGGCAACACTTCATATTACATTGGGCTCATCTACACTTTGCCCTACAGTGTTGTATGGCATGCTATGATGACGTAGTGATCACGTGGGTCTGCACGTGATCGGCAGCTATGTTGCCATAGTGGTGCACTTCCCCAGTATAGTGCGCTGCTATGGTGAAGTAGTGGTGGAATCTAACCATAAGCCACGCATGATGCAGTAACCACCAGTACTGCGCCATGCTTTAGTATTTCCAAAAGGAAGTACTAAAGCTCAGCACTGTAGCAATGTCGTTATATGGTGACGTGTAGACATGCACCTATAGTGACCTAAACTAGAAATCAGAAATTGGATTCCCTGGAACAGAGCTGTCCATCTGGTGGCCTGTGGGCTGTATACAGCCTGAGAGTGACTAACTTGTGGCTCACAGGTTCCCACTGCCTCTACCTTCTTAGCTTCCTTTACTTTCCACTAGGGGTCAGGATGCCACCCGCTCCCCAGTTGTTGCTGTTTCTGTCACTTGATGTTGCTGCTTTCCCTGATCCCAGGCTGCTGGATTCTCTAGGCTCCCCCCTCCCCTCCAGCATATGCTTTTTGCCACTCCTCTGGGGATGGTCCCGGGCCACCCATGGCAGAGGTAGTAACAGGGCAGTGCATCCTGTGGCCTCTTAGTTGGACAGCTTTGTACTACAATAATAGGAAAAGAGAGCTAGAAGGGACATCAGGTGGTTATTTAGTCCAAACTCTGGTTTAAGGCAGGATTATCCCAGTAATAATTACAAATGTGTATTTTGCTTTAATCTGCATTAAAATACTTCCAATGATGGGGTTTCAGATAATCTGTTAATAATGCTAACTCACCCTCATTGTTAGAAATTTTTCCTCATATCCAACTTAAATCTCCTCTGCTGCTGTTTAAGGCTATTGCACCTGATCTTGTTTCCAGTGGACACAGAAGATGATAGATCTCCTCATAGCAACTCCTTTTTGTTTATAAGGACTGCTATTAATTTATAAGGACTGCTAATCATCCCTCAGTCTTCTCTTCTCCAAATGAAATAATCCCAATTATTCTAGCCAATTCTTTGTGTCATGTTTTCTAGACCCCTAAACATTTTTATTGCTCTCCTCTGGATGCTTTCCAACTTGGGCACATCTTTCTTGAAGTGTGGTGCCCAAACCTGGATGCGGTGTTCCAAATGAAGCCTTAACAGTACTGAATAGAGTGAAGGAATCACTTCCCGTGACTTGATAATGCATCTAAGTTTACATGGAAATTCAGCATTATAACAGCATTAAAAACAGCATAGGTGAGGTCAGAAAGAATTGAGATATTTCCCTTGAATACATAATTTCAGAAATTATTACCATCAGATAGCAGTTTGCTATACATGTAAACTAGCAAGGATACTTCCTCTGGCATGGATTAATCTGAAAATAAATCACCTCAAATTTACAGTGCTTAGATTTATCACTTGCTCATAGCATTTTGATTTAATACTGTCTTGTATATCAACAACTCTTAAAAAATAATAAAAAATAAAAACATACCTTCCCATAGCTTCTTAATGACCAGAAAGATATTGGTGCATTTCTTCACTAGGACAGACAGGGCTTGATACGAGATAAGATATCCTACTTTAATCTAATTCAAACAGACTCCTTGCTTTTCTAAGAAAGTCCTGTTTTTAATTCACTGAGGTCCATAAAAAGGTCTTTCTTATTTTTTTTCCCTGCATGGTCCTTTCAAATTTTGTTTGAATTGTTTTCTAGCTGTGAAAGCTCCAAGTCTTAGCCCTTCTTTACATCACAAAGTTCTGCTGCCAGAGCTATGTTGACTGGGGATATGTAGAAATTACACCTCATACCAGATGTAGCTCTGCTAGCAACCCACCTTGGATGGACACAACTTTGCTAGAAGAAGATCACTTCTTCCAACAAAGCATCCATCTTTCAAGGGATCTGTTGTAATTCTAACAGCACAAAAACTGCTGGCAGATTTGCGTGTACACTGAGGGAGTAACCAGCTGTAAATTAAGCAGTGCAGACACAGCTGTAGGGTCATTTCTTCCAATCATGTGGCCTTGATGTCTCTGCAACACAAGGAACCTCTATTAGCTATTAATAATTTAAACACAAGATCCACCCATCTGCTGTTTATGGCCTATTAAGTTCAAAGACACTTATTTTAACTTGATGATTAAGTGAAACATATGAGTTGCTGATATTGGGGTTAATTCTGCTCTCACGCTCATCTTATACTAGTGTAACTCCTCCAGTTCCAGTGGAATTATTTTTGATTTATGCCTTCATGCAAGAAAGATGGAAAGATCATGGAGCAAGCTCTTTGGAGAGCAATTGATGCTTGACTTTAGAAGACTTCTGTCTCTCACAATATTCTCATTAACAAACTAAGGACGTACAGACCAAATTAAAGTACTATAAGGTGTATACATAACTGGTTGGATCATTGTACTCAACAAACAGTCATCAATGTCTCAGTATTTAGTTGAGAGGATCTATCAAGTGAGAAGAGAAAACTGAGGGGGGGATTTTATATCAGTTTTCAAATACCTGATAGGAGATTTTTTTTTCTTTGTGGACACAAGACAAAGAGAAATGGCCTGAAGCTGAAGCAGAGGACATATAAGTTAGAGGGAAGTTGTAGAACTTCATCCCTGTTAATTTTGAAGAACAGCTTGGACAAACACTTGACTAGGATGGTTTAGTCAGGGAGCTGGACTAGATGACTTTGTGAGGTTTCTTCTAGCTCTACTTTTTTATAATCCCATGGTATCTGTAGTGGCTATATATGTATGTTCTCGCCCCAAAATACCTGCATTGACCAAAATATTGATTTGAGTCTACAACCACATAAACAGGTTAATTACTGAAGGGAAACACTAATGGTTCTCAACACCATTCCCCTATTTTTCTTTTTTAATGGAAAAAGTGCAGAGTCTCTGGATGATCCAGTGGATCCAAAATGTTCAGAGCTCTTTCTTCCATCCTCCATTTTAAAATTAATATTGTGATGATAGTGAGCTGCAAAAGGGTCCTTTTCACTCCCTCAACCCAATTAAAGCTTTTGCTGGGACAAGGCTTAGTAGTCACCAGCATGTTTAGTAAGTTTCATTTTATGCTAAGGATAACTTCCTATATCATGTGCAAGTAAATCTGTTCTTTTTATCTTCCAGACACTAGTCTTCTAACACAGTGGTTTTCAACCTTTTTTTCATTTGTGGACCTCTAAAAAAAAATTTGAATCGAGGTGCAGACCCCTTTGGAAATTTCAGATGGAGGTGCAGACCCCTTTGAATTGTAAGTGTACGTATTCACATACTTTTGATTGAACATAGTTATTATTTGCAGGCCCTTTAGACATTGTCTGCAGTCCCCCAAGGGGTTCATGGACTACAAGCCAAAAACCACTGTTCTAAGCACTGTCCCTAGTGAATCTGAGGATTGCCATAGTCTCACAAGAGAGAGTTCCTACAAACCTGTAGTGCTGTTTCCTCATCTCTCTCCAAATGCCTCCAACAAAGTGGAACTCTTCTATCCTGTGACATTTTTAGGCCAGTCATCTCAGCAATGGATCCCCATGCTTTCTTTCCCTTGTATTGTCACATTGTTTCTGGCCCTATTGGAAGGAGGAATGCAGAATGTGAGAGGCTAGGTCAATCTAATGGCTATTCAGTCTTTGCTGTTGCTGCTGACCGTGCCAAAAATGCATTAATGGATGCTAGTTGTAGTGGGAGGTAACTGCCTACCAGCACTATTTCTAATAGAAAACAAACCACTACATAACAGAAATAAAGGTGGAGCATAAGTGAGTAGGTCCAGATTCAAACTTGACTGATTCTGAATCCATCGGTGAGCCCTATAATGGCCCTATAATAGTTTTCCCTCACTAGTCTTATTTCCTTTTGTCATTTTAAAAAAGATCTCTTCTTTCCAGGTCTCTCTTTTTTTCCAACCCAAAGCAGTGCAGTGATGTGAAAAAGAACCACAGATAATATTTATGAGTGCATGTCTCAAACATATGCTGTTCCTGTGCAGGGATATCAGTGAAAAGTACTAGCTACTTACTAGTATTTGTTTGAATACAACAAAGTACAGTTTCTACTTCTAAAACTTTGTCACTAGGCATATTACTATTGATGAATGCACATTCATATAGCCAGAATGCACATTCTCTGCTTGGAGAAACACAGCAATAAGCTAAGTTGTCTGCTGTGCTCTTCTGGTATTTATTCTTCTGGGAGATTATTTTTTAATGTTAAATATAGTTCTGTTTCTTTGGCAACTTATTTTTAATTCATAGCTCTGTTCAGAAATCTTATGCTCTAATACCCCTGGTGGCATGGCTTTGATATTGGTATTATGATCAGAGGTTTTGGTCATTGATTTTATGAGTAGAGTAGCACTATTATTGCCATAGAATCATAGCTATATTATCTATTTCCTTAAGAATGTTTCTTGTCGCAGCCTTTTACTGACCCATCAGTAAGCAGGGTCCTTGGTCAGATTTGCTCTTCCATTATGTACCATGGTTTTACTTGTGAATAAAGGTATGTGCATTATGTGGGAGGATCAATGGCACTAGAGTAGTATGGGAGATACAATCTGGTCCATAGAGGAGAATATGACTTTAGACAACTGAACAGAAACTCCCATGAGCTACTGCAATAGCAAATAGAAATATTTCAAATTCCAAACAGTTTAGTGATGCTTTGTTTTCGACAAAAAATATTTTCTGCAGAAGCTAGACACATTGTGCATAGTCATTCATTTAAGTACTTTTACATCTTGAAAATATGTTGATGCTTTTTTTTTATCAAGTCAATAATTAACTTAGACAATTTCTACTGACTGATATTTCCTTCATACTGCACTGTAGTAGTAGTGGAAGCAGGTAGGAATCTGACTCCTGTAGTTGAACAAAAATCTATGACATTTTAATGCAAAAGTGAAAGTGTTGCTGACTAAGCTATACTTTCCCTGAAAGAAAATAGTATTGCTACATTCAGTTCTGCATCCAACTTTTTGTATCCAGACACTGTATCAACACTACAATCTTATCCTCAGCTCATTTTTGTGAACAAAATTCGTAATGAGATAAAAAAACAGAGACATGAACTCCTTCTCATGACAAAGATTACAAGGGAAATAAAATAAATCCTGTCATTGTTTGTTCTGAAAGTTTATGAAAGAATCCCACGTAGTAGTTATTCCATCCTCATTATCATTGCCACTAGGGTGGGTTCTACAACTTCTTCGTTTCTGGCAATCTTCTTGCTTAATGTGCATTTGAGCTACTGCCAGGATGTTTCTCTTCTGTAAAACTAAATAAATGCCTTTGGAAATTGACCATCAAGAAGCATGGCATTCTATCTCTGAAGAGGCAAGAGGGCCACACGGTTGATTCACAGTGCTCTGCTTTGCACAACAAGAGGTGTATTTACACATGAAATGAAAGTGAAGCAATGAACTCTGGTGCATAGTGCGCTGGAGTGTATTGCTCCCAGGCACCATGTCTTCATGTGTGCATGGGACAACCGCACATTGAGCCAGGTCAGAGCAGCCCTAGTTGGTAGGGACACTGGGGGTCAGCCTGACAGGCTTGGGCTACTCCAACCTGCTTCAGCATGCTGCAGAGGGCCTGGCTGGGGCACAAGGGTGCTTCAGTGCAGGGCTAGCTAGCAGGCAGCCCCTGCAGTGAAGCGCCATTGTGCCCCAGCCAGGCCTGTCAGCATCTACACATGCATTGCTGCACACTAAAGGACGCCATCACAGGATAGCACTTGTACTAACCTTGTACTGACGAGTACCTATCTGTGGCAGAGTTACTTAGTTTCCTGTGGCTAAATGGGTCGCATGTGTAGACATTCAGACTTTACTGTGGAGGTAATTAGATTTCATAGACATTAGGGCTGGAAGGGACCTTGGAAGATCATCGAGTCCAGCCCCCTGCCCTTGAGGCAGGAAGTGAGCAGGGGTCATAGGATCCCAGCAAGATAAACATCCAAATTTCTCTTGAAGGTGTTCAAAGTAGGTGCTTTTGAACCACCTCTGGCGGCAGTCTATTCCAGACCTTGGGGGCTCGAACTGTAAGGAAGTTCTTCCCTATGTCCAGCCTGAAACGGTCCTGAATGAGTTTATGACCATTCGACCTTGTCATTCCCTGGGTCGCTCTGTTGAACAGATGTTCCCCCAGATCCTGATGAGCACCCCTGATAAACTTATAGGTGGCCATCAGATCACCCCTGAGCCTGCACTTTTCCAGGCTGAAGAGTCCCAGGGCTCTCAGCCTCCCATTATAAGGTCGATTTTTCTGACTTCTGATCATGCGTGTGGCTCTCCTCTGCACTCTCTCAAGCTTTTCCACATCCTTTTTGAATTACAAAGCCCAAAACTGGACGCAGTGCTCCAGCTGCGGTCTCACCAAGGCCAAGAGCAATGGGAGAATGAAGTTCTTGGATTTGCTTGAGAAGCATCTATGGATGCAAGCCAGCATTTTACTTGCTTTACTAGCCAACTCCACTGTAAACATCTCATGTAGATGAGCCCAGGAAGTAGTAGATAGAGGGCCAGGAAACCCCAAAGAAAAAATGAGATGCTTAGTCATTTTATTCTCATTTTGCCTTCTCTAATTACATATGATGTATTTCTGACAGATGTTGGAGGAAATGATGTAACTGCACTGAGAGCCTGTTTCAACATCCACTGACTTTGAATCTGATGTGAAATGCCCTTTTTATCTTTCAGCCATTTTATGGGATACTTTTTAACTTAGTACCTAACAAGCTATATCTATTAACCATGTGAAACTGATAAAACAGTAAGGCTGTTCAGAATTTGATGAAATGTTTCTTAATCAGAATATATCAAGTCACTGAAACTTTTTTGTGAAAATATACTAGTTTGGGTTCAAGTTAATGTAGAAAAGAGCAGTCAGCCCCAGGATGGAATTAATAGTCAAAATGC